CCTCCCTCCCTTCCTTCCCTTTTCTTTTCTCACAAGTATAAGACCTGCATCATGGTCTAAAACCTCTCCCTACCTACTGCTGCTCTCACTCCCCATTTTACTGTCTCGGTATTTCCCCTAATAAATCTTGTACATTTCTACCTCTATCTTGATGTCTGCTTCTTGAACACAATAAGCATACTGATAGTAAATGCTGAAATCTATAAAAAAGCAATTAAGTGAATGATTGTCGATGTTGGGAATCAGGTTTTTCACTGTTGGAATGGGATATTTTAGATAAGCACAAGCAGGAGGTGGTCCATATGGTAATGGATTAAAGCTGGAAACAAAATGAACTCATATTTATCTTAATGTACATACAGGTAGTTACATATAAAATATTTATAAATAAATAAATATATACACACACACACACACACGCACACGCACACGCACACACACACACACACACACACACACAAACACATTTCCTTGCTTTGTCAGCTGAGAAGGCCCAGACAAACAATACTTCGGTAACAATAAGCATAGCTATCACTCAGATGTTCCTTTCTAATGCCATTCTTCAATAAAACGAGCCAGGGCTCCTTGAAGGAATGGTTGACCCTAGTACTGGGGCAGGCTATCTACAAGATGAAATTGGAGCATATTATAATGTTAGAAAGTAAGAAAGTACTAAACAAATCAATAAAACACAAAGTGCCCACACACACAATGATGTGGGTATGTCAAAGGGACATAAGAGCCAACAAAATGGCTCCCAATGACCAAAGCTGGAATAATTTGAGCAAAAAATAATAATGCTGTATTGGGTTATAATGCAAGGTAAGAAATAAAACTGACAACCACAACTTTAGCCAGATGATCAAAGTGAGCATTAAGAGTGATAAGTCATCTAGATATGGTATGATAAAAATAACACTTTACCTCTCTGCGACTGTGCTCTCAAAAACTCATAACCCCAGTCTAATTGTAAGAAAAACACCAGACCAACCCCAATGACAGACAATCTACAAAACACCTGACTGATACTCCTCAAAATTGTCAAGGTTATCAAAGAAAAATCTAAGAAAACTGTCACAGCCAGGAGGATAGTAAACTTAAGAACTAAATATAACGTGGTGCCCTGGATGGTACCGTGGTACAGAAAAAGAACATTAGGCAAAAACTAAAGAAATCTAAATAAAATATGAACTTTAAATAATGTATTAATATTAGTTCATTAGTTAGTATTGGTCCATACCATTTTAAGCTGTCAGTAATACAGGAAACAAGGTACAGAATATGTGGACACTTTATACTATTTCATAATTTTTCGGTAAATCTAAAATTGCTATAAAATAAAAAGTTAAAATAAAAAAAATCTATAAGACAAAATGCCATGTGGATTATGATTGCAATAACTAATATTTATTTAGCACTTTCCAGGCTACAAACCACTCTACTGCATTAACTCGTTGAATGACAAATCCATTACCTTCCAGGATTTTATGATGAGATCATGTTATGAAGCCTGTCTAAAAAGCACATGAATAAAACATATAACTGTCATTATTTCAATAAAATCATGTTCTCACAAAAAAAGAAGATGAATCATAAAGGACCTGAAGTTACCAGCACAGCTTTTAATTTCTGGCAAATTTCACATCTTTGCTCGTTGTGTCAAACCTGTTCTGGGCATATTGGGCTTCTATTTTGCAGATCTCCAGTGATTTTTAACAGCAGTTGTGAATACTTAATGAAATTCATCATGCATTTGCAACAAACTGTTCACCTTTCCCAACCCCAGAGAGAAATGTGGAAGTGGAAGAAAAGAAGCTAGTGATGAATCGTATCCCTCCTCACCAGAGCAGGAGGGAATAACTGACAGGACAGGTGCCTGCCAGGGATCCAGCCAGCAGCACTCGGTGTTTCAGAGCTGCTGCTCTCCATATGCCTCCTTTGCTCATCCGCCCTCCAACATCACTCTCCCTGTCATGCCACTTCACTTCTTTCCTTCCCTCTGCTCAAGTGTCACTTTCCCCTTTCCTCTTCATTGCTTTAGGCCAATCGGGAAAACTCAGGAAAATCTCCAAATCCTACTGATGCGAAGGATTGGTGGCTAACTGTAAATTAAAGTATTAAAATACACAGACCTGATCCCACAAATACCCTAAAGCACAGCCTCACACTTACCAAACTTCTCATTTCCTTATTTCATTTTCCTTTGGAGATACAAGAATCAGGCAGAAACCAAATACAGGGGCAATATCAATGTATGGGATGACCTCCCACCCAAAATGCAATTAAGCATTTTGATGGCCTATGAGACAAATGATAGTATGTCTTTTGACTATAAGTCATCATAAAGCCATAATCTGTAAACTGAAAAGAAAATCCTCACACAAAACACAAATACCCTTGATCATTAGACAACAAGATTCAAAGCGAAAAGGCCAAGTGAAGGCTCTGACACATGCTGCCATGTGACCTGAGGCTCTCAGGGGCTCAGTGTCCTTATTTGTAAAATGGGGATATTAACAGCAGCATCTCAGGGGACTGTGAAATGTAAAGGCAATGATGTGTTTATTTAATGAATATTAGGGGAGGAAAAAATCTATTTGGGATGAAAGTAGCTACATCGACTCCGGCTGCCAGGTTCACATTGTATAAAATAGCAAAAACTCATCTTGATCTCAGGATGGGACATGTTAAATTTTCATTTCAGGTATGATTTTGAAATAAATATCAAATATTAGTTTCAATAAATTCTATAACCTGGTATTCATAAATATAGGCATAAACATATAATGTATCACAAATATCTAGTCTTAAATCTGGTACATCTGTTTGGAAAGACAAACACTAATGAAATATGTATATGATTTAGAAGTTGAAATTATCAGTGTTCAGCCAATTCTATGAAAGCAAATCACTTATTTTTAATCCTTTTAAATCAATGACTTAGCAATATTCTTTACATATAAGTTTTCTATATGTATTTAATAAATGAATGAATGATAAATATATTAAAAATTTACATGATATTTAGAGAGGACAACTAGTAAATATACATAGTATATAAATGGAATAATATGAACATTTATGTTTCCTATGTGAGAAAAAATTTAACCTATGCTGCCCATATCAAAACAGTTCCTTGGGTACCTCTGCTAGTTGCATTTGGATGGCCACCCCACTGCCGTCATCACCACCACGGAAAAATCAGAACAAGACCCTTGCCACACCTCAAAGCATCTGCTATGAATTCTACTTCGGAGTTCAAATTACTCCAAGCTGTGTGTGCCCATTAAGCCTACACAATTCAGCGGTGGGCAAAAACAATAATCAAAATTGCTGTAGATCTCCCTGGCCAGTGTGGCTCAGTTGGTTGGCTGGAGCATCGTTTGTGCACCAGGAGGTTTCAGGTTCAATTCCTGGTTAGGACACATATCTAGGTTGCAGGTTCAATCCCCTATCAGGGAGCTTACGGGAAGCAACCAATAAATGTTTCTCTCTCTCCCTCTTCCTACCTCTCTAAAAAAAAAAAAAAAAAAAAAATCAATATTCTCTCTGTAAAAAAAGAAAAATTGTTGTACATCTGTTCTTTTCTCAAGGAATTATAAAGTTTGGAAGAGCAAGAGTATGAATACCAGGATTAGGTAGGATGTTTACAAAAAAGTAAGAAAGGGGAACATAGAATTTAAGATAATATGCTAGCTTCCTTTACTCTATTTGTACACATTAGATATTAACCTAAAAGCTTTTCTGATGCTTAACCTCAGAGGAGTAAAGCAATATTTTCATACCCCTTGGATTCAGAGTGGAATCTCACAGAGGAAGGAACTGAATATTGTATCAGCAACTCATATCCTTTCTCAGAAATAACAGAGAAAACTCTTTTCCTATATTTAACTGGCATGATGAGAAAACTTTGGCATGTATTTCTCTTTCATTTTTTTCTGATATTATGGGATAAAAATTCAGATTATAACATGTCCTTGTGATAAAACTGTTTCCCTCCTGATTGTTCTTCAACGTGCACGTAGTTAAGGGACACTCCGTACATCAGCAAACAAGATGATTCTGACACTGTGTCTAGCTCATTAATACAGAAACAATTAATTAGGCAGAATTTGTCACCACTCAGGAAACAATCAAACTTCACAGCATTCACTAAACCACAAGTCACCTGAAGCATAATATTTACAACTCAGCTCAGGGGCACACCTTCATGAATATGTGGAACTGAAAACTACAAAGAACCAACTGGTTCACTGAGAAGCCTTCAGCCAGTCAATGAAACGAGAGCTGGAAAAGAGGTCACAATAAAAGTCACTGTAAAACAGAGTTCCAAATTCCATGGGGATGAGGCTTTTTGACCTGCTACCAACAAAGATTGAAATGTTATTCTTTTCCCCCACATTTTCATGTAAATTTAATTTTTATGAAATTGTTGACTTGCTAACCCTGGAGAATAGATCTCTCTATTAATCCACAGAATGAGTCTTAATGGTGAACTCTTCAAAGAAGCACTTTCATTCCTTTAACCTTTCCTTCCATTCAAAATACTACATTGTGCCCTTCTTGAATATATTTGC